TACTGCAGAGCAGTACATGAACTTGTTCTTCCCAGTTATTGGTCACAGATCTCTGGGAAATTATCCATAGAGGTTTATGGGTCATAGGCTGAAAGTGAATAGTCTAGAGGACTGGGATTAAGCAATCTGGGTTCACGTCATGGAAGTTAGGTATCTGAATGCCTTTGGAAGACTTGATGCCAGGCATCAGCTGGAGTGAGAACATGCACTGGGGCAGCTGTTGCAGAGTAGTAGGAGAACTGGAGGTTTCCATCCTTGCTTGGCTTCTGACTTTTCTGTGTCCTGAGAAAGTAGCCTTTGCTCTGTTCATGCAATGTGAATTTATAGAACAGATTTCTTTCATCTGTCTTTTATAGTGCAAGAATTTCAGCAGTACGATAGATAGGCTTTTATTCTAATACAAAAAGAGGTATATATTCCTTTTCCTCTGACTCTAATCTCAGACCTATTTCTTGCTCCAATGTACACTGTAAAATCTATACACCTGCATCCTACAGTGCTGTAATGAACAGTGCCATGACCTGCAGCCGTTCTATCTTCTCAGTGAAGAGCAAAGTCAGGTCTTTAATTCTTCCAGCTGCAGCACTTGGCTTTCCCTTAATGGCTGAATTACTCGCTTTAGTTAGGCTGGTCAGTTAGAAAGTTGGTAATTCAGACATTATAAGTCTAAGACATTAGCACATTAAAGACAGTATCTTGCAGCTTTCTATAGGGCTCGCTTTCTACCTGGAATGATTTTCTACTTGGCAGTTAGCCTGACTAAGTCACATAGAAGATATACATTTCCTTGAGCTCTATCTTGCATTGTTCCTTCCTGAACCATCCTGGAGCATGAGTTTAATACAACTGATATTTAAACTTGCCTTCCTTGGAGCCATGGGCTGTAGGGCAGGTGAAGACTTCACCAAAATTGTTGAGATCCAACCACCTCATCAGCCATGTCTTTGGGTGGTGCATCTTGTGTTGTCAGGTCAGCTGGGCTGAGAACTTCTCCTGCCTCTCATCTGCCCCTCAGCTGCTCCTGTGCTCTGACCACCCCAGGGCCAAGGCTTTGGAAAAGCTGCAGGAGAGCCCATCTACACTGTTGTTTCTTCATTAACCCCCCCAGCAGCTACTGAATATTGAGGCAAATATTATGTTAAAAAATTGCTTTTACATATTGTCTTGTTGTTCTTTATAGCTATGGACCTCATGATTTCATGTGCCAGTGTTTGTGTCCTCCACCCTCCATAAATAATAACAAAAAACCCCAAACCCCACAGGGTTTATGTAATTGGAGATGCGGCTTGCTTTGGTGCAGACACAGTTCTCGGTCTGCAGTTCTGCTGGCACTGGATGGTGCCTATAATATCTGTTTCAATTGCTGAATTTGTTTCCTAGTTGCTCACAGCACATAGACATCATCAGTAAAATATTCTGCTGCATTTTACTGACATGATACAGTTTTGCGCTCTGTCCATTTCCCAGCACAGCATCCATTTAGGCAAGAATGGATATCTTCAGTAATGAGAAGAGTGTGTCTCTGGATGAAATTATGCACCACAGAGCAAAATCCTGGAGGATACCACGTACTAGTATGTCAAAGCTGCACGAGGCCATGTATAGGCACCATTAGGTTTGCTCAGTCAGCCAGTCTCTGCTTCACAGAACCTCATTTATCTAAGCTTTACTAAACCATATTTTATTAAACCCAGGTTTGAGAAGTGAACTACAAAACAATTTGTCAAAATCGCTAAACAGAGTCAGTGGACTGTGGTTATGTGTCAACTGAGATGGCTCCAGGCAGGTTTTGAGGCTTCCCTGTGGGGCTCTTCCTTGGCACTCTGCCTCCTTTTGCAGCAGGCCAGCTCCAGGATGGGATCATCCATTGACGTTGTGCTTTTCATGGGGTTAGCTTGGACCAGGACCAACCCATGACAAAGGAAAGAACAGCTACTTCTTGGATTGAGGACCCCAGTCTCATTGTGGTGGGGTTTTAATTGAATTTGTAGGCTGCATTTCGAAGGAATCTTAACCTCTTTAGGAAAAAAAAAAAGGTCCCATCAAGTTATGAAGATGGTCAAGATGCTCATATACACACATGTTGTGGGAAAGGTGCAAGAGGGAAAAGAGGCATGAAAAGGTGGAGCAGGGGACTGGTGTGGAGAGGCAGAAGCAGCGCAGTGGGGTGGTGGGGAGAGGTAGAGTGGGACCTTTATGGGACTCTACAGCAGCATGGGAACCTGCCAGCAGCAGAGGTAAGATTGCCAGGTCATCGTAAGGTCATCTCCTCTTCTAGATCCAGAATTCTCCCTGTGCAGGGTGCTCTTGGAGGCTTTGTGGTAAGGAGCAGAGAAATAGCAAACCCGAGCTTGTGTTCTCCTAGGAGAATGCTAAAGGAACCAGCCTTTGTAAAGAGCAGGCACTTAGGCTGCTGTGTGAGTTCCCTCTTGCTCAGCAATTTTGCCTTCCTTGAGCACAGCCAGGTCTCTGAGCTCAACTCCATTGGGCAAAGCCGTTCCTGCCCCCTTGTCTCTCAGAGAGGCTCCATGCAACTCTGGGTGCAACAGGTTTACAGCAAAGCCCAAGTTTCATGCACTCCTGTGGGGGAAGTACTCAAAAATACTAAACCAGTGCTCCCTTTCCCAGTGCCAAAGAGCGAGCTCCATGGAGGTAAGGATAATACCTTACCCCACATTTTCTCCCTCTGTATTTCTTTACAGAGCTCCTAGCTGGGGTCTCTGCAGTTACTTGGTGTAGGCATTGATCTCAAACTCTGCTGCAGACGTAAAAGAAATGATACAGAAAATCTTGTTTCAGGCATAAGCTTTCTGACTGCTGCTGCTTTGACAGCATCATTTTGTTTTCTTTCTCTGCTGCTGGCATCATGATGGGCAGTACTTCAGAGGGTGGAAGGAAAATAGAGCAGACAGGTGGTAGATTTTGGAAGAATGAGGCCCTGGGCCAGGGGAGACATGAGGATTTAAATCTCAATTTTTTGTATTGGTTGTTTTATCATTTCACGGCCCTTTTAAATTGTTGCCATCTTATAGTCTGTGTTGGCCTGGAAAGTGCCCTGACTGCTTTCACTGCTGTGCCGGAGGCTGATTAGAGTCTATGGTTAATTTAGGGATAAGTGCTTGTGGAATAAAAAGACAAAACAAAACATAAAAAATTGTTGAGCCTGTCTGAGGAGAATAAAACAACTAAATCCGTCTTGTAAAGATAAGGTAAAGGAATATCAGATGGCAGATTTACACTTGTATGCTGGTGCTGAGTATGGCCTCAAAAAGGGCCTGATGATGGAATTGTTTATGTCACAATAATTAACAGAATGCATCTTGTCATGAAAAAATCCAGCAGGAGACATAGAAAGTTACAATTAAACATTCTTTTTATTGGGGCCTTGCTCCAAAATGGCGTAAGTGATAAATGCTCAGAGCGCCCATCAGTGCTGCTAATGAAAAGACCCAGAGTCACATTTTACACTTTTATTTGGATTTAGATCAACATCACAGATAAGATACTTTGGTCAAACACAAGAACAGATTGCTATGCCGCTCCTTCCTGGCTGCAGTAAGTACAGTAACGTGGGAAAAAAAAAAGCTGGTTCTCCTGGAACACCGAATGTAAATCTTGGATTGGCACATACAGCTAATAAATATGTTGTTTGCACTTAGCACTTTAAAACAGAATTGCACATGCAAGATGTAACCAGGCTACTGATCACCTCCATCATTGTCCCTGTACTATTTTTACTTTTTAAGCTCTTTGCTTGCCTTTTTCCCAGCAAGAAAAAAAGAATATAATTTACTGCTCTACTCAGTATTTCAGTGATTAGTCTGCTGATTTTGACATGTTCAGCAAAGGTCATATTGAAGGCCTTCCTGATAGAATTGATATCTCCTCTACAGCTTGACTTGCAACACTATGCATTGCAGGTAGCAATGGAAGTCCACCGAAGTGAGGTGAGAGGTCTGCCCAAAAGCTGAGGAGGAGAGGTTAATACCAAGCAAAAATATAGTAGAGGGACCGGTGTGAATGCAGTTCTTACAATATCAAGAGTCAATACTACTACCACACAAATAATGACGTATCAATAATATATTGTACAAGCTTATACAGCAACACATGTTGATTTGCAACATTGTACAGTTTAAATCTAAAGTGCACAGCCTCAATCTGAGGTGACAAAACAGTACTATCAATATAATAAAGGCAACACAATTACAGACACAATTTATTTCCTCTTACTTCTTGTTCTCATGATATTACATTGAATCAATACTCCATTTATCTATATTAGATGAAATTAAAACCACATTGCACTTATTTTCTTTTTCCTCTTCAAGTATTTTAGACAGCAAAACAATATTGCTTTACAAACAAAAGTTGGCTGTTTAGGCAAAGTTAAAACCAAAACTTTAGTAGGGTTATAAGTAGACAGGCCTGAGCCACAGAACTCTTACCAACACTTCCAGATGTTGGGAGGAAAGAGGATAAATTTCAGTTTCCATGCCAGAGTCACCTCTAATGTTAAGGAATGATGCAGCACATGAATTCTGTAAGAGCTGTGCCCATGGTTTCTAAAAAAGCTGTGAGGCTCTGCCAGGGCTCTTTTAGGCAGATGTAACCTTATCTCGATTTCTTCTTCAATTTCAGAATCCATTGCAGACGAGGATGGAGTCCAGCACTGGGAGAAACCTTTGACAAAGCAAAGGGTTACTTAGACCCCATCCCTGTCACTGAGATTACAGTCACATTTAATTTAGGCCTCATCTTGCAGACCTGTACATCTGTACGAAGTCTTTACCCTCTTAATGCAGCTGTGAGGTTTCATGCTTTTTCTTTAGTAAGAATTTCAGTCAATTTTGATTTTCAATGTAGTTTTAAACTGCTCATAGCAGAAATGGTTATGAGATAAGCATTTATTCAGATATGTGACTTTTTTTTGGATAGGCTTTTTTACCACAGAACACAGAAACCATCCAAATACAACCTTATTTCAGTCTTGGTTAGCACTGTATATTGATTGTGCGTCTGCTTAGTTAGGCCAAGTGGGAAACATCATTAGGAATAATAGCATCCTATTGTTGTACTGTAATTGATCTTATTAAGTGGTTTTAAGAGCTGCAGTAGTATTGAGGTTTTTCGGTAATCAACCCTGGAGATGTAAAATCCATATGACATGGAGAAATGAGGTATTGGTACCTCTTAAGAATGTAGTATGTGGGCTTATATTTTAAAATAAGCAGTAATAAATATTTGAGGCACCTCCATCAAAAGAAAAAGAATCCCAGTTAATTTTCAGCTTCTGTCCTTGCAGTTTTATAACCCATATAAAATAAAAATATAGTTTACAAAATAGGATTTTTTTATATATATATATATTTCCTTTTGTAAAACTATACCTATTTAAATACATTTGAAATGTTGCTATAGGTAAATTAGAAATTCTGTTCTAATACTACGAAAAAGGCAAAATACTTTCACTTTTAAACATACAGCTTGTATACTCTGCTTCTCACCGCCCCCTCCCACTTCCCCCAATTTGATTCTGTCATCATTTTGGGCAAATTTGGCATCATTCAGTCTGACTGGTTTTAATTTAAAGTAGTTGCTGTGTTAAAATTGGGGATAAATTTTTAAGTATCTTCTGTTCTTCCTTATTTGCTTCAATGCAGCTTTTTGTGCAGCTAATTATTAAGGAGGTATTCTAAAACTGAGGAAAGGACTTTAAAGGAGCCATGTTTCTTGATTTTAAACTGTACTCTACTCCAACACCACAATATAGAAATAGATGTACTTTGGAACAAACTACAAATACATTCGGACAGTTTGTGACAACTTAATTGTCTACTTAGAGGTCCAGGAACAGATTTTCACACCCAATTATTATAAATCTTGTCCTAGGCGTTCTATTTCATCAATCAGGAAATCAATGTCTTGGTGAGTTGCTGCGGGGTTTGAGATGACCATCCGGAAGAAGTTCACTTTGTCTCCCAGGGGCTGATAGCTCACCATGGTTGTGCCATACTCCATCATCCTGGCTTTTATCACTGGTGCCACCTGCAGCGTAACAAAAAGCAGGGGATGACAATGATGATGATGACTATAATTATTATCATTATTTTCATTATTACCATCATCATTATTATAACAAAACACAGATTATGTTTTCTTTTTTTTTGAAAAAGATGAAGAGCTACAAGAAGCAGTTAAAATGAAATTACGTCCAGTATCGATAAAAACGTTAACCTCCATCAAGGAACAAATGTCTCATTGAAAAGACATTGGGTTTATCCTGTTTCTTTGTCCTGCTCTTAAAATCACTGGGGAATTTTCCCCCCGACTTTCTCAATATTGCTGACAGGGACATGGCAGCTGTTTTTTGTAGTGCTCAAAACATATTGTTACAGTCGTTTTCCATCTTCTTTTCACATGCCAGAGTGCCACGGTGTTACTGAGCTTTTGTTGCGCTTGCTGGGTTTAGCAATTGCAGTTCACAGTAACTTCAGTAAATACACACAGAGCAAATAAGTGCTCCAGAGATGAGGCAAACCCCGGGAATACCAAACTTGGAGACCAGAGTAAGGTGGTGCCAGACCAACCTTCAGTAAAATGACCACGGAGCTGTCATTTGCCAGAATATCATGAGGTGACCTTGCCCTGTGCCCTGGGAGATCGTTTTGGGGATTGGCTGCCTGCAAGGGTTTCAGTGTTCACTGCATGATGTCCAGGAGGACGCTGCTTACCTTCATAAGGCGGCCCATTCTTTCTTCGTTGTTTTCCATGCTGCGCAAGCTGGGAGGTATATACCAGAAGCAGACGTTTGTGTGCTGAGGCTAAACACAGAGTAATAATGGTTTACACTGTAAGAACTGTTCATAGTATCTCAACTGCAATTAAGTTCATGCCTTCCCTCCCTCTCATACATCACATTGTGACAGCAGTCAACTGTTTTCATTACTGTGGTCCACTGAGAGTCATCATCATCATTAATGCAGAAAAGATAATTTTAGGCAATTTATTCCCAGGGTGTCGGATGCGGAAACATATCATCCAGCTGTGCAAATATATTTATGCCCTACTGAGAGGCATCTAGATTTTGTAGGTGCTGTCCCCTCCAGAGTCTGAAGGGATTGTGTGGCTAAGGCAAGAGTTTATTACAGATAATTTAGAGCTGAGGACCCTGTCATTTACTTTTATTACATGACAGAATAATATAGAATCTGGTTTCTGTAAACAGGAGTCACAGGTGGTGCATGAGACAGTCTAAGATTTTCTTACATTTAATGAAATTTATTACTTTTCAGTTTGATTCAGCTAGCTGCTGTATTAATATGCACGCACCACAGCGTCTTAGCTAGTTTAACTTATATGGGAGTACCAAGTAGAAAGGCATAAAGAAAGAACTAGTTGACATTTTTTGTATTTTTGCAATCTCCCAACAGTTACCTGCCTTGCTATGTTCCTCTTTGTTGGACACTAAACGTGTGAGTGACAGCAACTCCTACTGCTGTCAGTTCCTTTACTCATCATCAGATCCAGTGGACCAAATTCAGTGAAGATGTGTGAGGTGGGGGAAATAAACCACATAGTGGCATGGGGGTACGAGCCTGTGATCTCTGTTTGAAGAAACACAGTGATGTTTATCCTTGTGCTGCAGAGCACTTAGGCACACAGTAAGTAATTGCTACCAGTGAGCAATGTTCTGAGAGACAAAACCTTCCAGGGCAAGTACAGAGCTCAAAAGCCATCACAAGTAGGAGGAAAAAAGCTAAAATGATATATTTTTTTTCCTTTTACAGGCAAAACACCAGTTAACTTTGTAACAGAGGTCTCTATCAGGCCTGCCCCCAACCTTCGCAGCTGGAGAGGGTTGCCCACAAAGAGATGGCCAAACACGGGACAGTCCGGTGCAGTTCAGAGGTACAGCCACACAACCTTGCCCTGGGCAGTGTGCTCCAGGTGAGCACCTGGAACCCAGGGGTCTCATCTCAGCTGGACTCCCTCCACAGAAACAACATGCCTACAGATATTTGCACCCCATGTGGTGGTGCCACGTCTGCCACACGAGCCATCTGGGCTCCCAAGCAACACTAGCCCCTGCCCTGCTGTGCTGAACCCCATTGCAGCATGAATTGCAGTGCAGATGGTCCCTCCAGGTCACCCCAGGTCCCTGCAGGTCCCCTTTGACTGCCCACCTGAGAATGCTGATGAAAGCGCTTTGTACAACTGTCCTTTCAGAATTGTGTGGGGCACTGTAATGCCCACTTGTAACAGACTCTGCTATTAGGAAACTGCAACTTGTTTTCATTACTTAAGAGCTGGTTCTAATTGTGTGTGCTGTGTTAGCCTGAGATGCCAGTGTTTAGTTTCAGCGGGGTGAAACTGAGCAAGCTGAAAACTTATGCACAGCTGCCTCATCTCTCTGGTCCCTGGATCCCTTGAGGAAGAAAGATATCAGCACAACAACAGGTTTTGTTACAAGGGAAACTGCTTTCTGTTATGTGCTGTTTGGTTTGACCTGTTGGTAGCATCCCAACAGATGACTAAGGCAAGTGCTGTTGACCAACTGGGAAAAAGAAGCTGCAGTACATACCTTTCCATCAAACACCATTTCATATCCTTCTCTGTTCTTTATTTTATTGTACAGGTATTCTGCAAGTTCCAAGCACTTATCAATTTGTGCTTCAAATCCTGTGGTTCCCTTCAGAGAGAGAGAGGGAGAAAAAAGTTACATGACTATCTGTTCTGTGAACCAAAAAAGTGAAAGGACCATGCAGCACTTGCCAAAGCATCAGCACAAGTCACCTCTCAGAAGTCTCTGTAAGGCAGGATTAAGGATCTGATTCTACGAGATGAAGGACACTCTGCTAAGCAGAGCTCACTTGTCTCTAGCTCTTGCCACTGACTCCCTTATAGTCACCTCTGCAAAATAAGCACAGGGTACTAGCTTGGTTCTCAGCAAAACATTGCTAACACCTCCGATGAAGGGTGCCCTCAGTAGATTTTGCAGAGAGGCTGAGCACGGTTTTGGACAGCCTGGACTGGCACAGAGGAGGGTCTCTAGAAAGTGTTGAGTTCCAGACATGGGGAGTCTCCTGCTATTTTCAGAACAGGGGATTTTAATCTTCCAGGCGTGACGTGCTGAGGCCTTTTCCAAGAATAATTTTTCCTTTTTAGTTAAACACAGAATGGGCAGATACGCTTCTAGAGCCTGGCCTGATGCCTCTGAAAACGCACATTTTGTTTAGATACTGCCCTGCCTCTGTAGTGTTTTCCTCTCTTCTTTTCTAATAGACACCATATAAACTCAGAAGCTGTGTTTTTAAGAGCTGCAGCAAATCCTGCTTTTTCTTCTCTGGCAGAAGTCATAATACTCTCTCTGTGACATCATAGTTGTTCCTGCAATCACCAGCTGTGGTGGCACAAAGGATCCAGCTTCATGAGGGAGGAAGGGGAATAAACAGCTGGAATAGATAAACTGTTTAAGAAACACACATCCTATTCTGTAACATTAATATTACAAGCAGGGTGCGAGAAGAGAAAAAGCAGTACAAGGTATATGGAAAAAACAGGGTTTAGAAGAAGAAATGTCTTTGAGTAATGAATGCATGTCCCTGCTAAATCTGTTCTGGCAGTGCAGAACTGACTTAAAAGCCCATGTCATTATCCCTCTGTGAATAGAGATCTTAAAACAGGGTAGAGCGAGCAGACCCCCAGGAGAAAGGCTTGGAGTAAAAAAGAGACATGTGGCTAAAATTGCCTGCCCCTCTGGAGACCCCAGTTAGCACAACAGCTATTGCGACCACAGAAACTTGCATCCTCCTTTACAGACTCCCACACCTCCAGCTACATTTGATGTCTGTCTCAGAATTGTTTTCAGAGTTTTAATGAAGCACATGAGGATCTTTAAGGCCTTCTGGAAATGAAAACAGTGATGTCAACTCCTCTGAAAAAACCTCAGGCAACTTGACATAATAGATTGGATAAATATATGGAAGAACTTCTTTAGCAACATTCTACAAATACAGATGTATTAATCATTAGAGCTGGTGTTTTCAAACTTCCCAGAGAACAGATTTTGACAAGTTTTCCTCTACTCCTTCAAAAGATGACTTCATATCTACTGCATGCAATGAAACTAGGTATTCTAGTCTTGATTTGCCATGTTTAATTTCTGAATGTCATTAAAACATCTTTTTATTTCCAGAAATCTTCGTAACAACATTCCTAGGTATATGATTTATGCTGTTAGACTCCTACTTACACAAAGCAAATGCTATGCAAAACCATGGAGTTCAAGTTTCAAAATCATGTGTGCTGCTTTGAAGCTAAATTGTTAAAAGTATAAAAACCCAGAAAATAATAATGTTCTTTCTTTAATGTTATATATGGGAAATTCAGGTCAGGTATTTTCTAAAGTGATGATTACAGAAAAAAACCACCTGTATCTGGTGTGCATTATTTTAATGTAAACAAATATATTGCAGGCAGTCCTACCTTTGCCCTCCACATCAGCCATAGCTTGAAGACATCAACATGCCGTCCACATTGCAAAGCCTTGTCTCCTGTGTCGTAAGACAGGTCATAGTGCTTGTCTTGTTGAAAGAGGTAGGAAGCATGCATCTGATTGCAACTCTGCATCAATCCCTTATAGAAACAAAGACACAAAAAAGTGATGTTGGCACAGATGTGACTACTGTTTTGAGGGCTGCTTTGGGCGAGAAGTCACAAACACCCAAATTCAGTGGAATATGTGTTCAAGTGCAAAAGGAAGATCAAAAAAAGGACAAAACTAGACTTAGTTGCTCAGTGGACTAAGTTTTTCACATCCTATTCAGTGCCCAGGACACCTTGGTACCTGATCCAGCAATGTGTAATCCACTCCCAGAGCCAATGCATTTAAAAAAAAAAAAGCTGGACATTGTGCTTCCTAGCATCATTATGTGTAAGTTCGTTTTTGGATCTTGCTTTATATTCTTTGTTCTGGTTCCTCTTCCACCTTTCCTTGGAAGTCATCTTTTCTGGTTGAGTCAAACCAAGCCAATTTGGTGACTAATCTAAATAATATCACACCACTTTTCTCATTGCTTTGGTCTCTAAAATTCTGATTTTCATTGTTTTCTTTCTGTGTAGGCACAATTCTTTTCTGCAAAGCCCTCAGCTGCATATTGGATGCTTAAGTGGTATAGAAAGCTTTGAACAGACAGAAGAGCATATGGCATTTAAACAGCCAGCTAGAGCTATTTCTGGGTTGCAAGATACCATTCTGAGAGGCAGCTTTGTGGGAGGGCCAGAAGCCAACAAGGTGAAGAAACCTGGCTTATGAAAGTATGAGGTTTCCTTTTTAGTTTTTTAACTGAAATGCAGAGAGTCATGCTCTGGCTCTAGTTAAGTCCTCAACCAAGGGCTGCCACTAAAACTGCAATTTCCAGTCCAAGAAGAATCAAATATGGCTGTTTATCATCAGGCCTAATCTTTATGTGTAACTCAAAACTGAGATAGTAAAATGAGAGGGGGAAAAAAAATTACTTTCTCTTAATCTGAGCCATCTGTTCTCACTAGAGGTCAAAGATGGTACTGACTTCAGCTAGGCAGGATTTGTCTCAGGGAACTGACCCAGAGGGCAAATAAAAGTCAGCTTCTCTCTTCCTAAGTGCAATCACTTTGTATACAATCTGTTGTACAGCTGTTAGCAAAACAGCAACCAGCTTTTTGATAGCTGGTCTAGTAAGTGGTGGTTGTAAAGCAGCTGTCCCAGTAACTGATGGTTATGTGAAAATTACAGGCTTGAAGGGTAATTCAAATTCTAGTACTAACTGAAATGTCTACTTTGTATTCCAAGTGAACTTAGTATTTCTTTTTTACTTCCATAGTGGATCCTATCCCTAAGTGGATATATGCATCAGAGCTGGGTGGAAATATCTACCATGTAAGTCTAGAAAGTGTGATGACGCCCAGATTCAGGACCAAATGTTGGACTGCATGTATACCATATCATTCATCCCAAGAGGACTAGAGTTTGCCCACAGTTACATTTTATGCTACACAGCAACTAGTGGGGTTATACAGCTACACACCCACACCTTAACTATGGACATTTTGAATGGAAAGCCACAAAACTCTTGTAAAGATATTGCCATTGATTGGATCTATCATTTCTGCTAGACAGCTGCTTTAATTCCTTTTGCAGTCACAGCCTGGGCACGTAACTAGCAGTCTATTTCTCAGTTTCTTTTATAATCCTCATCACATTAACAAATATTAGCTATGACACAGTTATGAAGAAAACATCCAGGATTTTCAGAAGCAAAATGTCAGAAAGGATCAGAGATGCAAATATATTCAGACATACCTCTTCTCTTACTAGCAGGGCTGAACACTGCAGCGGGACGCCCATCATCTTGTGAGGGTTCCAGGTCACTGAATTGGCCCTGGGACAGCAAACCACATGAAACTCAGACATTGTACTATAGTGGTCAAAGCATAGAGATATTTAGAAATAATTAGAATAATAATGAACATGTAGCAATGTGCACCTTTTTCTGAGCATGCAAAGCTGAAAATAATCATGGCTGATATTAGAAAAGCAATGCCTTCATAAGGGACCTAATCCACTCTAGTTGGTTTTTGGATGACAATCCTGGCAACTTACCACAGGATAATTGCTCTATCCACTAAAATTAATCAGTATGAAACTTTCTGGGGAGTCATCTATACTTTATAAACATAGGGCAAACTTCCTAAAAACACCCACTTGACTGAGGAACTTTGTAAAGTTGCACAGCTGAATAAAGATGCAGATAGGAAGCTGGCAAACTAGCAGATTCCTTCCCATTGATTGCAGTTTCAGGAAGATTTTAGTAACTAGCTCACATAAGCATTTTAAAAAATTCCTCTAAATACTTCTGAGTACCTCTAAGTCTCTGAGTAACTTGGAAAACCTAGCCCAAAGTAATTTTTCTCATTGCTCTGCTGATGGTGAATTTTCATAGCTCCTTAATTTTAGCTTGGTTATGGTAATTCACACAACTGGAGGACTGTGTCCAAAATTACCACAGTAATAAACATAGAACTGATCCACCCTTCCACAAAAGAGTCTGATCCTGCCTCTCTTCAGGACACATTCATTGCAAAAATAGCTGTCAGCCTAGATCTTGTGAACAAGCAGGGTGCTGTTGCAATACAGCCTAGAGAAGAAGCATTTGGGACTGTGGCAAGGGCTGAATGGAAGATTGTCCAGTTGTTTTATTATTTTAATTTTTTGTTATGCTTGTCTAGCTATTTTTTAATTACTATTATTACATATGACAATTAGCTGACAGATGTATACATGTGCATCCCATTTGGCAGGCTGTCAAGGATGCATAGTGCACAGGATTTCATGCAGTGCAGTGATTTGAGTTTTGATGGTATGAATTGGTATAAATCAGTCAAATAGGGCATGTAAAAACTTAAAGGACCCAGGATACACTTGCAGGTAACATTTATGTGAACAGAGGTGAGCATGTTAGAATCCAGCACTATTTTCCTTTGGAGGACTTGGAGACAGCGCTATAGGTTTATGCATATCCTTATGGTTTCCTGCCGTATTGCTCTGCTCCTTCAAAGCAAGCAACTCCAAAATTCACATGGACATCAGGCATCATTTCTGTGCTTTCTTCTTCACAATTTAAATGGGACTACACAAGTGCCTGATGCAAAATCTGTAGGGAACAGTCTTCCACAGCCAACATCTGGCCACTTGGCTTGGCTTTTCGAGTATTTGGCAGCTTTTAATCAGCTCAGAGTCAGTCATCTGATTACAACACCAAAGCTAATGATTCTGAACATGCATTCAGGTCTATGAATTTCCTTTGATATGATACTTTTTAATTTTTATCTGTGTCTATGCAGAATCAGGCAGAAATTCTGTAAGAGACTTCTAGGTAACAGTGGTGGTATGGGTTTTCTCAAGCAAAAGGATTATTTACTGACAACAACCAGATGTTAATTATCTGCCTGAAACATTTAATTTACCCTAAGGTCATTTATTTCCCCAATTACATCCCAATTGCACACAGAAAAAAATTAATTACGTAAAATAAAAATCCATCATTTTTCATTTGTTACCAGTTATTCTGGGCTTCAAGCATCAGTATGTGCTTGAAGAAATTGCTGACTGAGACAAACAGTGAAGTAAAAAAGCTACAGGGATCCACAGTATTTTTTTTTAAAAGTATCTCACGTTTGCCCAAGTAACTGAGCACAAGCACCTGTGTGATTTTTTTGGCTGTGCGTCACAGATAGAAAAAAAAACAGAGGGAAATTTTTCCTTTAGAGATTTCAAATGGGTGACAAGAGAGATTCAAGACTGGCAGAATTTGGTCCTCAGGCATCATTAAAAACAGACTGAGGTGCATTCACTGTCCAGCAACAGCCCCTGGAAGGATGCTTCCCAGGGGACATGCTTCCTTCAGGGTGCCTTGGAGCAGCCTGAAATCTGCCATGTGTGGACTGGAGGGCACTGTAAGGATGGTCCTGCAACTCCTCCTGCCTTTCACAGGAGTAATTTTGCTGGACTGCCTGTTACTGGAAGGAAGGGACTACTCAGAGCACAGAGTGCTCCATTTGATGCTCCTTCCTTGTACCTTTATTTCCCCATCAAACTGGAGTACCAGCTCCAGTTCTCTTCTATCCAGACCTGTTACGACTGGCTTGTACTTGAATATCTACCATGAAACTGGAATTGCCATAAAAGTTTGGTCTAGTAAGTCTGCTCGAAAGGTACCCACGTTTGAGATCTAGACAAACTGAAATGAGCCACTGTGTCCATCAAGCAGAGGAACAACATTGGAAATGAATTAATTGCCAAACATACGGAGATGGTGCTTATCAAAGAGCTAGGTAAAATCCAGTTGAGTTCTAGATCTAAATCATATTATTTGGAAAATTCTTCAATATAGATTCAACCTGAACGTCTCATTCCAGCAGAATGTGGAAAGCAATTTGGGAAGCAAACTCTTCTTTTTCATACTCTGTCCTCACAGGCAACTGGGTAGATTTTTCTAACTTGCTGGATATTTGGATGTATGTCCTTTTAATGCACAATATGTAAATCTGGAGTGCTGGAGGCAGTCTTAACTGAATTGAATTCATAGAACCATTGGCTACTTTCCAAATTTCGCATGTGAGATGTATGTGAAAGGAACTGAGTCCTCAAGGTTCCCTCCTAATCTTTAAGAATAGGATGAGGAAATTGTTTGTAACTTTAATTGGCAAGGAACAGCAATTTGATTTAGAGATAAAAACAGCGGAAGAGAGTAATAACTTACTCTCCAACAGCAGGAGCTTCAGAAAATACGCAAATGCAAGAGTGACTCCATCTAGCCCAGCATACTGTCTCTAGCAAGTGGCCTAAATAGGTGTCTTGGAAGAACACAAAACAGAGCAAGCATGTATGAACTTTCTCTAAATACTCTCTGAGCTCCCACTCATTTGTGGCTCACAGAAGTCCCCAATGTTTTTTGTTTGTCCTTCCTTGAATGCAGGTAAATTTTAACATCCTATGGCAAGGAGTTCCACAGCTTAACTAAAAGTTTCTGAATAAGCAGCTGCTTTTAAGTTTAAGCCCAGTCCTTCCAGATTCTGAACTGGACTGGCATCCCTTATGTTCATCTGTGTGTATCTGTAATGTTCATGAACTCATGACTACAACTGTGTATATATCCAGGCACAGATTCGCTGAGAAGACATCATTAACACAGCCTGGAGGAGGGTATTCTCTCCAGCAGTGACAGAGCAGTGGTCAGTGACTGCCAGGAGACACCAGTTCAAACTGCAGGTGCATCCACCTTTTATACTTAAGACTTCAGCGTACAAGACCTCCAAGATTCATTCTTAAGAGAAATGCAATTGCTAATTCATGCTGGACGCTGAATCAGAGAATGCTGCAGAAACCACTCTGGACCTGAGAATGTATGCTGGAAGGAACAGAAAAGCAAACAAGAAATGCCTGCTGTTTGTACTACAAAACAAAGTGCCACACTACTGTACCACTGAACAAAGGCACTTAGCAATGCTACTTCAACTGGAAGGACAGTTTGCATAATTTCTTCGTGCTGTATCTTGGAGATAACATTGATTTTTATTTTTATCTTTAGACATTGCTATGGTAATCACAAGTGTGCTAAAATGCCTTTAATAAACATTGTTAATTAACAATAAATCATACCTTTCAACACCATTTAACTTCCATTTGTGCTTTCTTGACATCAGGAGCCCGCCACCCCATGCTCCCTAGAAGGCAAGACACATTATCTTAACGAGACGAGAACTCTGCTTTTCTCCATGATGACATCTGTGCGTTCCTATCAGTGTGAGGCCCCTTCTTTTTTCTTGCTGATGTGGCACGTTCCAAAATGACCAGGCAGATGGGGCCTGAGGCATTAGCGGTGCTAACAATTTTCTTCCAGTAGCTTGCAAGCAGCAGTTTATAGCCCATCATCTGAGTGCCCACCCTTATCATCTGCTAACCCCTCCCTTGCCACCTCCTCTGACACTGACACACGGGGCTGCTCCATGGTGTAATTAATGACTTGCGGAGCTGCTCCTGGGTAAGCTGCCTTTTAGTGACTAAGTGATAACAAACCAGACTGGGATCTCAACTGCTCAGGTGAGTTTTCATCATATTTCAGACCACTACCGCTTGCCCTGTACTCATTTCCTTTTGCTCACAGACATCTGGGACAAGCAGGTGTTTCACGCAACTGAGAAGTAGCTTGAAGTAAATATAAATTCTTCCTTTGAATTAGAATGATTTTGGTTGGCACAGTAATCCAAAAGCAAGATACCCAGTCCTATGGAAATTCAATTACCAAGCCTTTTTGGAGAAAGGATTTGCAAAAATGACAGAAAAGCCACTCTAGGGCTGAAAAATGATCCTTCAGAAAGATTCATTGGCAAGAGCCCAGATAAAGCTAAGTAGCCAATCTGATAAATTTCTCTAGCATTTGCATTAACCTGTTCAGCAATCTGCAGTACTTTATTCCAGCCAATGTAGCCTTTTCCTTATGTATTTATTTTGCAGCTGCTGCAGAAGCTGAGCCAGTGCTCAGTATGGTTCTTATGTATTTCTTGTACCAGCAGCATTTAGAGATAAAGCTGAAGGCCAAAAGCACTCAAACTAGGTCATCTTAAGTGTCCCAGTTGCTGAAAGTACCACACAGTCACAGCTGCTAAAATGTCCCCCTGACCTGAGCCTTTCAGAGGAGTGGGAAGTCTGTGCTTGCATGTTAGACTTGGTTACAGGAACCAAATACACCTGGTTTTGCACAAGATGACACTGCCCAAAATGAATAAATCAGTGTTAATACATGCTGTAACCTAGCCCCCTACATGACACTTACATCCACGTGCATCCAGATTTTGTATTTCTTGCAGATGTCTGCAATAGCTATGAGTGGATCAAATGCCCCGTACACTGTTGTCCCAGCTGTGGCACTCACCAGGAAAGGAACAAATCCCTGCAAAAAAGCACAGAGGCATTTGGCAAGGTCAGAGTGCTGCAGCCTCCTCAGCCTGCAGCAGCCCCAGCTCCTCTTGTGCTGCCTCCACAGTGAGCCCACGAGTGTCTCCTAGGGGAAGGACATCCTGCTGCATTAATTACACCGGCTCTCTCAGATCAGATGCCAGTGATATTATGGTTTCGACCTCAAGGTGGCAGCAAGCTTCCAAACCAGCATCCTCCATTTACTCGGATGCACGAGAGACTAAGGGCTCAAAAGAACAATTCTGCTCCACACCCCCTGCCTGAAACAACAAGGTCTGCTCTTCATGATGTCGCCTAAAACAAATCTCACCCAGGCACCCAACATCTCTGGTGGTCTGTGCCCTGGGCTGCACTGTAAGTATCCCAACGAGTGTCTGAAGGTGTGGTGGTCCAGCCCTGTCAGTGAGAACATCTTGTCTGGGGGTGGCTCCTGGGGAGAGCGCACAGGGGAGGTGCGGGGCTCGCCTCCAGCCCCATCCCTGGTGCGGAGCGGGGAAGACAGCTCTTCTGAGGAAAAGCCAGCAGCCTCCATGGAGGCCAGAGACCATCTCTTGGATTCCTTCTGCTAAAGGCTGCTCCTCACAGAGGAGCACTCACTGTGCATCCCTTTTGAACTACGAGGCCTCAGGTCTGCCATAATTTATACCAGTATTTCATTTTAAATTCATTTGTAATTCTGTTGATTTCATAAACAGTACCCAGAGCAACAAAAGTAAAGAGTGGCTACATTTTTTGCAGGACTGAGGTTTAAACTATCAAAAAGGTCTAAACTTCCTTCTGCAATGGTCAGTAGGTTTGAGTGGCACTTTATTGTCATTCTGCCTCATTTTTTACCTACTACATTGCTTTTCTTAGAAAAAAGTGAGCTTTTAATGAAGATTTGTGTTATTAATGAGCTTTGAATGCTGTATGTCTAATGACTATTTACATAAATGTTGTTGAAGGCACAGGGCTGAGTTCACTGCATGCTTTAATCTGATGTTTTAATTCCAGCTTCTGTTAATGAACACATACAAGAGTAGTGTATTTTTAGAAATGCGTGGATTTTAGTTTATCTTCTATTGATTTGGTGACACTATAAGGAATATTTTCATAAAATACAAAGAAATTCCCCAAATGATTACTCTGTTTTTGTCAATATTCAGCTGAGAAACTGCATCATAGGCTGATAATATAAAAAAGGAGGATTTTATGCAGAACAACATATTAAAAAAAAATAGACAAAAGCTCATGGAGATTATAAAGTAGCTCTAAACGTATTTTCTGATCAACTCTTGCCTCACTAATTGCCAGGCTACATTTCTGAGAAATAAATCAAACGTTAATAAGCAAGTCTGTGTTGTTTTACTAAGGAAAGCAAAACAACTAGCTGTGTCATTCTTTTTTTTTTTTTCTTTTTCTTTTTTGGAAGCAGAAAAGCTAGTAAACTTACTTTTTGTTTGGCTTCAAGAATTCTTCTTTCAAGGTCTGATGGGATCATTTTCCCTCTGGAGCAAGAGAGAGTTGTATGAATAATTTGATCTTTAAATCAGCTCTTGCTGTTACTTCTTAATAGGAAATCCAAATAAGGAACAAAGTGACTTTTTTGCCCAAGGGCTACGCAGCATTGAAGAGCACAGAAAGACTGTGTCCATTAGTCTAAGTTTTTACCCTAATTATTTTGTCAACCAGTTTGAGTCAATATGGTGATGGTAATTGAGAGAAGTTATCTCCTGGCTACCCCCATTAAAGACTGATGCTGCTCCATGGAGCCTCCTGGTCCTGTTTAACTCGACAGCCCCGGGAATACGCTCCAGGCTCCCAGGGAGAGGCTCAGCCCAGGGTCCCAAAAAGCTGACTGGGTGCCAAATCCCACGATCCCCTTTCAGCAGCACAGAAAATGCCAGCTGAGCTGCATGGCCTTCAGCAGCGCAACTCAGCTCTGCCTTAAGCAGTCGTCTCTGTGTTTCCATCCCAGGGATGAACTTGTTTCAGGACAACTGTTCCACACTTTGGTGCATTACACGTACATTACTTTTAGCCTGGAGAAAAGGAGGCTGAGGGGAGACCTGATCACCCTCTACAACTACCTAAAAGGAGGTTGTAGCAAGGTGGGGGTTGGTCTCTTCTCCCCAGTAACTAGTGATAGGACAAGAGGAAACGGTCTCAAGTTGAGCCAGGGGAGGTTCAGGTTGGATATTAGGAAGAACTTCTTCACTGTAAGAGTTGTTAGGCATTAGAACGCGCTGCCCAGGGAGGTGGTGGACTCACCATCTCTGGAGGTGTTCAAAAAAGGTTTAGATGTAGCGCTTCGAGACATGGTTTAGTGGGCATGGTGGTGTTGGGTAAGACGTTGGACTTGATGATCTTTAAGGTCTCTTCCAACCATAACGATTCTATGATTCTATGTTCGCATTTGCTTGAAGCAGGATATGAGAAGAAGCTCCCAGTCTAGACTCATTAAATACACTGTCAGGCCCTCTGTGTTGACTGTATACTGTATTTGCAACACCTTTAGTATGAACCATTTACCTCAGATTCAGAATCCGTGGTATAAGGCTTGAAGGCTAATTTATGAAATCCTGTAAATGAATTATGCAGATAAAACAGTGCTTATACTGAATATTGAGGTTGTCTTTTTTTTCTTTAGCCACAAGCAAGACTATTTAAGAGACAGTATGCATAAACAGCAATAGAAACATGACAGCTCCCCACATGAATAGGAATAAAGTCTTCACTAGTTTTGAATGTTGTCCACTTAGATTAATTTTATTTTTTAAAGATTTTTTTTCAGATTTTTTTCTTTCACTATGCACTGATTTCCTGTTGCTATAAAAAAAGAACCACCTTTACTAAAGCTCAAAATAGTAGTTTCAGGGAAACTAATAAAACCATTAGTTTTAGTTTTGATTTTGCATAACAAAACCTGAAGTGTTTTCATGACATTTGGATGAATGTAAATAAAAAAATATTAATTTCTTGTAATAAGATACTGCTAGGTTTTGTAGATTTTCACCCTTACACAGCTCACAGTAAGACAGTCATTATTTCAGTAGAAATGGGTTTGTACTACTGACTTTTTTCAAAATCTGTCCTGCATTTTACTTATGCAAAACACTAAAAGAATAATTGAAAATATTTTTAACTCAATCTAAAAATTACTCCTGATTTTTCTTGCAGAAGTTCAAGGAAGGTCTAAAGAGTATTCAACTCATTGTGAGTTCCCCCTAGTTACATGTACATGTTCAGAGAAAAGCAGTTGTCTTATCTTCAAAAACTGTTTCTGGGATCATTAGAAGAGTAAAAAAAAACCAAACATGCCACAGGAAGGCAATGTTTTCCTCTTCCAAACATAGTTTAGATGTTGGTCTTTAATAGTTTCTAATTTATTGAACTTGTGCACAGAAACACACACAGGGCTGGGCAGATCCCTTCATTGCTCAAATTTTTTTACCAAGACAAGTGATTATCCAGCCCCTGGTCACACTGAGTATGTGCAGGAATTCATGACCAGGAGAGTGCAATATCCAAATAATGTCAAGCTTTACCAAAGAGCAAGCAGTAGGTCAGCTTTGAGTATAGTCAAAATACATGCTGGAGTACACAACCCCCCCTGCTCCAAATCTAGCAAACTAGCCAACAGCATTGCTGACTTGCACAGCATTTTCACATGTCACCTGAGCTCAGATGACCTGCAACACTTAAAATGCACCACAAAATAACAGGCTTGTCCTTAGACAAACCTCACCCAGATAATGTGGCAGGGGGTTGCACGAGATGTGCTAGGCAGCATCAGAGGTAGGAGGGCTACCGAGTGAGACAGAAGAAACTCAGCAGCAAAAGGACATTGAGGATAGAATAAGTGCTAGTGTCAAAGTCTTCTCATGTTACCCACATCTGTACACAGTTTTCATTGCTGCCACATCAGACTGACGTGTTTTGACCTCAAGCTTGCAGCTAATACACTACTGCTACCAGTATGTCTGCATGGTAGCAAAAGACACAGTGGATATGTATGGTTGTCCAGTCTGTGGTATGAGCAAGAACATGATTTTCTGCATGTTTTCCTGGCTTAAAATTCACCACATATTTACATAGTCCCATGATACAGCAAAACCAGGCAAACCTGGCAGGTGTGGGTCAGGATGGGAAAGAGCCACCAGGAAGCATACTTGGTCTTGCTGGAAACATCAGAAAGATCTCATGGTGCGCCTTTACCCTCCCACAGGTCCACACCTTCACAGAGGGTCATCTCCACTGCACCAGCCCAAATCCTGTGCAAACAACCTGCTTTGTCCCTATGGTGTCCGCTGTGATTTGGTAAGACACTCAGTAATCCTTCTGTTTAGTTGAGGGTGGGCAGGGTAAGCATTGTGGTCTTCACAGAAAATCATCATGCTGAACTTGCGCAAGAAGAAAAGGAAGACATGACTTCATTGATCCATGTCTGTCTTTAGTGAATAGAAACAATCAGAGGTTTATTTTGATGTGTGTTGGTTGTGTTGATGTTGTCATTAATTTCTCTTCAAGGTGTGCTCAGTCTTTTGTTAATAAAGAGATAAGAAGTCCTGAAGTCAATATGCAGGTGCTGTGATTAGCACTGTAAATTGCTCAGTTGGTGCTCTTCTTTTAATGTGGGAGCAGGGTATTTTGATAGCAGTAAAACCTTCCATTTATGCTAAAGCCATTAATAATTCAATACTTTATATCAATGATATTTGGGACTCATAGTAAGAGCATTTTCTATTGAAAAGATTCTCAGTAGAATCAATAGGGATTGTTCTATTAATTTTTGTCCCATAGAAAGTTTTTTTTCCCTAAAATCGAAAATCTTCATCAGAACATGTTGATTTTCTTTATATACCATTGTTTTCTCAAAAGGGGTTTTCATAGAGAATGAAAACCTTTTAGTCAGGTGAGTTAAGCAAGAAGTTATCTTCCACCAGTTTTGTAGAGCCTATGGGACCTGTAGGTTGGGTGCCTGCTGTGCTACTCCTTTCCATGAACCATCCTCCTCCTTGGCCTATGCTGCCCACAATGCTGCCAAGACCCTTCTCCCCATATCCCATCACAAGGGTGTCCCCATTGAGGGCACTGCGGGAAATACAGTCTAGCTGAGAAAGATGGTGGGGGCATGAAGTAATAGAATCACATTAGTAAATGCTCCTCAATATTTTACTCCTATAAAAGGCCCACTTCAGCTCATTTTAATGGATCAGAATGTAAGAGTCTCTAAATGCTCTATTTTGACCAAAACAAGCTTCTTCCTGGTTTCTTAGCAGAACGTGTAAAGAATGATTGATTAGTATTTTGTTTCACTTCAGGATGAAAGAAAAAGTACCAGAAATCCCTGAGGAAGGGAACTTTAAGATTTTCTGATGAGCTCCAAAAACTGACTCGTAAAGAAGCTACTGACAGAGCCATTTCCTCAAGTGGGATAAATCAGTGTAAGGTTGCTGAAGATGCTAACGCTATGATGAAGTATACCAACTGCTGACTGCATCCTATATGCTCTCTCTTGAGCTGAGCACCTGATGATCCTCTTCTATGTACCAATAAAAAGAGCTGTACTTGGCATCTTTACTTACCTTTCATCACATCTAATCAAAATCACACTATCTGTACCAATACCCAAGGCTGCAGCTCCTTTCTTCACAGAAAAGTGGCTCTGAAAAAAATACATTTACTATTATTTATTATTTTCACTATTATTTTTTATCTAATTTAATATAAAACATGACACTCTTGCAAGCCCTTCAGCAAGTAGTCCCACATAGGCAGTAATTCTATTCACAGCCTTTTTGGAAACTGGTAATTGTAATTTGAGGACTCGTATCAGGTCACTACAATCAGAGAAACAGCAATCACTCTGATCTGGATTTACTCCTGGAACATTAAATACACAATTGTGGCTGATGATGGGCCCAAATTCTCTCCTCGATGCATACCTGCAGCTTCTATTGCTTGTACAGATTCAGCTATGAACTTGATTTACTGAAACAAAAAATTATCCCCTAGAGAATTCATTTAGTTTGTGGAGTCCAGAGTGATGTGCTTCTGCTATGTAACTTCTGGTCAAATAATATACTGGGGGAAATTAAGATAGGAAGCCCAATTGTGATCTCATGCCAGCGAAAGCTAGTAATAACTCCCATTAATAAAAAGAGCTACCACAGTTTAAAATCAGAACTGGGCTATTAGTAAGACTGTTAGTTAATCTGTATGTACAGAATAAAATGTAGAAGTTATACACTCAAGTGCATCGTAATTTTCTCTAGCTCATAGGACTTAACTCCTGAGCCAGTGTTGGTTTATGATTCTAATTTAAATCTAGTGATTATATAATGAAATAGTTTTATATCAAATCATACCACCAAGACTCTGAATTTGTATTAACTCAAACTCAGCTGTGACAATATTGTCCAAAGTAGTTTTAACTACAGATTGTTAAACTTTGAAAAAATGGAAATTCTTTATGTATACTACAGTACCATTAGCTTAGGATGTTACACTATAAGAAAGTTCAAGAAGATAAAAATCTAACAGGGTTTTTTAAGTGTCCACAACGTTAAAGAGAGGAAGACATATAGTCTGCAGAAGACCACAAAGCAGAGAAGTAATCACTATTGCTTTGTCAAGGGAGTATTTGGCTTCAACAGTAATGCAAGCAGCAGAGAGATGCAGGAAAAGAGGTGGACACGATGGTTACACACGTCTGCTTCACTTAAAGACCATGAAGTCAGTGGGATTTCACTACATACTAAAGGGCTCCGTACATAACGAACACTTTGAGAAATCAAAATCCATTCTAAACTAACTTTATGAAAGAGAGAGGAAGAAGAGTAGAACTTCAATATGTATGTTCAACTTAAGAAGTAAAATCCCATGTTATAAAAATTGCTCAGCGGGTAGTTTTTCACTGAGTCCTGACTTACATGGTTAAGGTTGTATAAGAGTTTCCACTCCAAACTCCTTTTTTCATATGCCTCTATCTCACCATTGTGGCTGAAATGCTTCAAGTTTTCATGATGCCCACTGACTTTTTCAATATTCAGACATTTTGAAGAAGTTCAGATTGCTCTTGAGCCATGATTCACTGATGATACACGGTAAATTTGAAAACACTTCTTCAGGTAAATGATACTTGCCATACTCCATCAATTTTTTTTTAATGCAGTGGGTTGGTATAGCCTTCCCCCATGGGGCATGGCTGTAGTATATCAACAACGTGCACTGAGGAGCCGTTGAGCACGTTGCCTAGACCTAAAATCAGCTTTTAAGGCCTTAGTACAGCAAACCACTCTAGCCCTGAACTATGCACGTTCTGAAATGTAAACACATGCATGTCAGATTGACTTTCACACAAGCTGATGATCAAATGAAACACATACCCATGTGCTTAGATGAGCAACAAGGGATTTGTGCCTGTGTTTAAGTGTCTGCTGAATTAGATTCGATTCATTGCAGCTAGCCTAATAAAGCTTAAGTCATCAAATAGGCTCCCTCTGCATTTTGGGGGAAACAGGCACCTCCAGGGAAGGATTCATCCAGCATGAGGGTTGCTGGTTTGGAGCAGGTGCTGAATGACATCAGGTGAGGAGATTTCTACCCCTTCCCTACGGACCAAGCCCTGTGATACCTGCTGTCTGTGAGAGTGGGAAGTGTACAGCACCTGCAGGCACCAGGGCTCTGGAAACTGGTAGATATTTGATTTTAACACAACTGTTATTGTCTAGCCTATTAAAACCATGGGTTAGTGGTATGCTCAGATTAGATATGGAGTTTTGCCCTGTTGTTTTTCTAGTTGGAGTCACAAACTGCTAGGAAGTATTTATACATTGAACATCACAGGCCTGCTCAGCCATCACACTGATATTTTTCATGGCACGTTCTTTACTTCATGAACCCAAATTTTTGAACAAACACATTTCCATAAGCTTCATCAGCTTCACTAAAGTTAGTGGACTTTTCCCAAGTACAAATGCACTGTAGATTAAGGCTTGGACTGTGAACAATCCACAGACCTCTATGTGTGGAAGATACTGAAGTCTCTTCCCAGCCTTGTGGGTCTCCCTGAGCCCCATGGTGCAGCAGTGCAACTTTATGAGAGCAGGGAGCAGGAGAGGCCATGAAGAGGCTACCGGCATGAGGAGGCTTATAAAAAATTCGAAGTTTAAGGAGGTATCTTCAAACACTGCAAAAACTGAAACAGAGCTAGAATATGGCCAGCATAACGACAGTTCGTTGATACGTGATATGAAGCTAGAATTGAATTTACATACTTAAAAAAATTTAGTCTGTTTTTTTACTCATGTATTACACAAACTGATGTGCACGTACCGGGTAGTGTAATACGTAAATACAGGTAGAGATGTAGGAGTGAGGAGTTGCAGATATATTTCACTGGGTTTTGAGTCAATGACATAATGTTGATTAATTTTGCTCCTTATTCCATACTAGTTAAAATAGATTCACTATAGCAATTTGTTTTTCTAATAGAAAATAGAACTATTCAAAGTGCCTAAAAAAAACAAACAACACAGATTTGAATGGTTTACTATGAGGAAGAAAATTAAGCCCATGTGCTCAAAGGCATCCACTGGAATATGGCCAAGCTCAGCTGCTTCATTGAGAAGTCTCATGGCACTGCTAAAACAGCATTGGGGAAAAAAAATGAATGTAGTGCTGATAGCTTGGTTGCCTGAACGCTTTTTACAGACCGAAGGGAATTCAGTGGTCAGGAACCAAAACAGGTTTAGGGATAAACTGGGAAGAAATACAGAAGTCTGTGCACAGAAGGGCAAATGCAATTACAATTTCTAAACAAACTCTGAATATGAAATTGCTCAATCTGTGTATACAGTCACAGATATATGACTGCTGTTATGTTTTTGTGTCTCAGGGTAACATCAGAGGAATTACTCCAACTGCCTGAGAGGCGCTGAAAGAGCCAGGATGGAAGTGAAAATGGAAAAATATATAGTTTTAAGAGCAAAGAAAACCTTCCTAATGATGACGAATATCAGACTTTATTTTAATATTCCTGGGATGGTGCTGAAAATTTGGTTGCCTGTGTAATATAAAGGTAAACACAGAAAAATATAAAGGTCAAAGAGAAGAAAATGTTTGCAGAAATAAGCTTGACTAGACAGAACTCCTGAGAGATTCAGCTGGGCTAATGGGGAAGGACATTAACTGTGACCTCTCTGGGAACATGGGGGCTACACACTGTTCGGCCACGCAAGGAAGTGAGCTTGAACACCGTCTTTCACAACACAGCCATGGAGGAGTTACGCAGATCTGAAGTCTTATGGTGGGAGAAGCAGGGTCAAAAAGGGAGGACAGGGACAGGCTGCCTGATGCCAGTCCTGAAAGAAAAACCAGGCTCAGAGGAGCTGCTAGGTCCAGCCTTTCACCACTGTCCTCTGCTTGTCAGAGACAGGAGGACACGCAGGTGGGAGTGGGCTGTCACGATGGCTTTCTCCCTCCCTCCCTCCCGTCATGCACTGCAGAAGGGTGCATGGAAGACTACAAATACATCCCAAATAGAGAGGAACCTCAATTTGTCTCTGAAAAGAAATGTGGTTAAAATTCAGTTGTGAAGGAGAAGGTATAGAATATTAACCAATATTATTGACAAAAGCATATTATTGGTCAGAAAAAAAATTTGATGATTTTGAGTCAGGGGAATTTTCCCTTTGGCTAAAATTTCAAATGCTGTTAGAAATAGGTTTGTTTGCCTGATAGCCATTTTTTCATAGTTAGCTTTGTAAAGTAAAATCACAGTATAAATTTATTACAGATGCAATAATGAATAGGCCTTTTGGAAAAAGGAAGAATTCAAGTAATTAACAATGTTACGATGCTGAAGAGTATGGCATTGTTATTTTAAATGAACAGTGCTTCAATATACAGATGCTTCTATTTTTATAGTTTGCTAAATTACTTGCTAATAACACGGCAAGGTTGAAGCCGTCAGGAAGAACCAGCCTAATGCCATGAGCCCCAAAGGCCACGGCTGGTTTTCAGATTGCAGTTTCTCCTTGCTCACATAGACCCAAAGTGACACAAGCTTTGTGGAGGGAGCTTATCAGGAGGAATGCTGAGACATCCAGCAGCTGAATCCTCTCCGAGGTCCACAGGTTTGGTCGCTGGCAGCCTGGTGCCCAGCAGACCTGGACCCCCAGCTTCACCCCATCAGCCACACACCAGCAAAGGAGGTGAACACGCTTTCCTCTCCATCTCTCCTGGGCTTTAAACAATGTGGTATCCCTGGGTATGTAGGCCAGGCTACTTCTTTCTTCATCATTTGAAATTGTGTGGCTGGTCCAGGCTTGCTGTTTGAGCTCCGTCAACAGTGGGGAAGAAAAGCTACCTCCAGAAGGCACCTCATCCCTGAGGCTTTGGCATCCATTTTAGACTAGGATGAGTTGCAGATCTTGCTCTCCTTTTATTGGCTATAAAAAGCGTATAGACTAACTCAGATTAAATGTTTACACTTTAGGTGATTAAAGTTAAGCAACATGAATCCTATCTTTAACATCTAATTGTAAGCTATAGCTTTTCCTTCAATTATCTACAAAAAGAGTACACTGTGTCCCACCACATTTTTAAATACAGTGTAATGACATATATTTTTGCTATTGTTTCTTTTAGTTACTGCTATTCAGTTTTTCAAGTTATTTGCTAATGTCAGGACAGAAATGAACATATTAACATTTCTGCCAACATAGTAATGTTTCCATCTTTAGCATTTTTGAAATACATAACTTCATACTGCTTTTCTGATCCAGCAAGACTCACTTGTTTTTTCTCAGTGTGGATAGTTTTACAGCATTATCTGTGGATAAGAAATGCTGCACCGAGTTCAAGAGGATCCTGTGGCAGTGTAAAAATCACGTGATATCGACCAGATGAAGGATTAGACCTAAATGATGAATGTCTCCTTTGGGATAGGCTACCCTAGAGCACTATTTCTCTGGAAAATGGTTTTACTTAGATTTGAATGGTGTTACTTGAATTAAGTTGCTCCTCAAACAAGATCAAATTTTCACTACTCCCCCCTGGCTTCAACTACCACAAAAAAATACTTTTCTAGTTATTATGCATTAGGTAATGCAAAGAAAGAACAGGTGAATCCATGAGTTTGATTTTTAGTTTCCTTAGATGGAAACAAAACTACTCCTTACTTACACTGTATGCTCAGAAATATAACTTGCGGCTTCCTAATTTATACTACCAAATGGAAAACATGATCTCCAGGCTCCTCAAATCTTTCCCTGGAAGCCCCACCACACAGGTCACCCCTTGGACTGCTTCTTGCAGGTGGCAGTCCTGCAAACCGTCTCCTGTCATCTGGCCAGAGGGCAACCCTACGTGCCATGGAAGTGGTGGGACTAGAGATCAGCTTTTCATTCTGCACAGAAACCAAACCAGAATCTTCTGTAGGCCATGTGAAATGGAGGTCTATTGAGCTGTTTGCTTTGAAACAGAAGTCATGTTTTAATTTCCTCCTGCCGCAGCACCAAGAACCTCCCTAGTAGGTTTCAGAAACTGTTCAGATAAAATCTTTGCCAAAGCTACCCTTCTCCCACAGTTATTAGTGTAGTTTGCCATATTCCCTGCAAGTAATGGGGCTTGTCCAGAAGAGGAAATCAGCAGGCAAGAAGCTGAAGTGGTGATTGATTGTTAACCGCCTCCTCCCATCTAGTTGCTGTGTGGATGCTGTGTGCGCTATTGCTGTGAGGGTGCTCCCCTCCCACCACAGACAAGCCACCTTGCACAGTGCTCCCCCGGAGGATGAGGTCCCTCCAAGTATGTCCGGCTGCCTACAACGCTGAGACCTTACACCTGAGCAGCCAACAGACCCCCCCACCCCTTCACGGTCAGTGGATGCCGGAGCTGCGCTCCCGGCAAAGCCTCGGGCAGGAGCTAGTTCACCCCAAGAGCAGTGCAGACGGGGGGATGCCAGAGGCAGAGAGGGCCCCTCTGTGTCCCCTTGGGTCTCTAACTGGGTGAAGAGGTCCCTTATTGTCAGATCAGACTCAATCATCTGCCTGTTCTTACTCTGCATTTTTTTCCCCAAATTATGACAGGAGTTGTATTGCCATTTCCTTGGTGAGCTCCTGACAAAGTGTTCCTCCTTAGGGGTCTGCTAGAGGGGTGGGAAACGAGGAAAACTGATGTGGACTACATGAGCACAGTCTTGCTGGGTTGGAGAACAGAGGAGATGAAGAAATTTCTACATCTTTCCAATTACACCCAGCTTTTTTTTTTTCATTCTCTGAATTGTGGATTGAGTCTGTACAGCTCCTAATTAAACATCAAATCCATGGAAAAGCTGCAAGTTTCTTAAGCTATTTTTATACTACCAATAAAAAGGCCGAAGGCTGTTTTGTAACCTGAACCCAACTAGTTCTCTACAGCTAAACCTTTCCCCTCTGCAGCCCTACCCTCCTCAGGGTAAGATTACTTTGTCCTTTTTGCTTGCTAGGGGTGATCCCTGCTCCATACTGTTCCCAGCTACTGTTGGATGCTGTTTAAGAAAGGGCTAGTTGGCCAGGTCAAAATCACAACAGGGAATGGGTTAAAATTCAACAGGACTTGCCTTATAGACAAATGGATCAACTAAAACATTCTGAGAAGGCAGCTTTCCCTTTCAGCCGCTTTCTCCACACTGAAAAAGGGATGTGCTCAGCTGAACACTCACAGCAGCCTAAAGCTGATGATGCAGTGGGACACAGGAGGCGGCCTTCATCTTAGATTTTTCATTGTGTTTGAAACAGCAGACTAAAATAGGTTTTTACAACTGGCATCCATCACTTTTACCCCTCTGAGTCCAGGTCTCTTGCGTCATGTGCAGTCCCGAACAGTTGCCCTGAAGGACATCACTCTGCTCCTGCACCACTGCAGATGAAAGAACCACTGATGATGCACTGGTGAATACAGAGGATTGAATTAAGTCCTGAGCGCAAGTGCATCTCAGTGAAATTATACCTGGGCCAAGACTGACCCAAGCAGGTACAGCGTATTTCACCATCACTGGTAAAACAGAAATAAACAGAAGCAGAGTGAAAGATAAGTCATGGTCCTACTGAACGTCTCAGGGAAGATCTACGTACTGGGAACATGCATGGTTGGAATAGTCACATAACCTATCTTAGGCACCTAATGTAGGTTGTGTATGTCAGGAGGCTGATCCCTCTGTATGGTCAATGATCAGAAGTAGATGAACCCCTCCTGAAGGTGATTTAGAACATCTAAATAAAGGAATAGGCTCCTAAATAAAGAATTACGTTCCTAATTTGGGTGCTCTGAGTTTCTCTCCAGAGGTGCATCTCTTTACTGGCTGTGCAAGGAATGAGGCTCCTAATTTAGGTACATGATGCACTCCTAAATTAGGAAGGGATTTACAATTACTTAGAAGCTGTGAATTACTCCTCCCTTCCCTTCTCCCCCACTGGCAGCTGAATTTATCACAGCATCAGACTGAGGCCAGATTCTGATTACGGTAATATCGGCAGCAACTGTGGCATAACTTTATTCATTTATAGTAATGGAAGCTCTAGACTGGTAGAAAGGAAAATAGAGTCTGGTCTGTGATGCTGAAATTCTTGTCTGAGAATTGCTGATATTGGAATCTTTGCTTCTGACTGAAAATTTTGATACAAAAATCTCCAAGATTCTAAACACATACAAAAACTTTAAACTTTGTTTACTATCATGCCACATGTGCATTTACTATCATGCCACACAGAGCATCGGGAAATTATATCATCCCGCTTATAATCTGCTTGTTCCACAGTCATTGTCTTACAAGAGCATCCAACTGTGGCAGAGAGAAACCACAATCAGGCTGGGGAGTCTAAAAGTAAGATCTAAAAGAAGATCAGCATGATGAGACAAATTACATTCCCATCTCTTAGTGTCTACTCAGGTTCTGCACGACATTTCCTGTCTAAAAGGAATTGTACTTCTAGGCCTCTGCAATCAATTCCTGTGACAGCCTCTGCTATTTTGAGGGTTAAACCCTGATCCCATATCCTTTGGGCAATTAAGGGTTAAAGGGTCCTGTCTTCAAGTAGTGTGATTTCTTAACTTCCTTAGAAGAAGTGCCATTACATACTTTATAAAAAACTTGATTGAGGAAGGGACAAAACTGCAATTTCAAGATACTTTTAAAAACGGATTTCAAATGCTGTTCTATGGATTCTCTAGTATGTTTGATTTTGGAATGTTTAATTTGCTAAGGGAACTGCTTCTTCCCTGGCATGAAAACACAATTATTAAAGCTCATTTCATTATTTTGAGACTGATAGCGCAATTTGGTTCATCGTTTCACATTCCATCACTATGAATACAATAAAATTCTCTAATGATTAATAGGATTTGTTATTTTAAATAATCATGCTGAACCTTATTTGCAAGACTTATTAAGTCTGTAACTTCCATATGAATAATGCATCTCTAGCTGTACAGCCCACTTTGGAGAGTTGCTACTCATTGGTAGAATATCCTCCTCTTTGACTGCTTTGGGGACAATTATTCTGCAACGCGGAGCCTGCAGTTGTGTGTTGCGTCTCATCCTCAGACGATTTCCTCCTAGAATTTTCTGATCAGTTTTTGGACTCTTTGCTCTTCACACTTGCACAGAATGGAAACATGTTCTCTGACAAGTCAAAAAAGGCAGCCAGGAGGATGTCGTTACCTAACATGGACAGTATCTTGCTGAGCCTCAGCCATGAAAGAGTCCTTTCTGGCTGAGCCTGCACAGCTGGAGAGAAATTTAGAACGCGACCAAGAAGCCCAAAGAGAGCTCAGAGCCCCTCCTGGGTATAGCCTTTCCTCTTCCTCTTCCTCCTGCGCACGCATTCTCCACTATAAGCTGCAAGTAGTTTTAAAATGGCCATAAAGCCAAAATAACTCCTGCAATACAGACAGAAATATGACTTCTGTACAGTTGTTCAAAGAGCAAAAAACTCTGTGTTTCTCCCATGAGGACTGTTCTGACTTCTCCCATGCCCACCTCCCCTCACCTCTTGCACTGCCAGATCCCGTCGGTGCCTGTGACGAACCCTCGTGTCCTGAAGCTTTTGCTCACAGGCAGAAACCCACAGCAGAGCCCAGCTCCCCACTGTATACTGCAGCCACTCCACTGGACACACACACATCATTTCCATACTACTGTCTTCATGTATGTTATCAACCTCTCATTAAACAACAGCAGGAACAGTTTCAGCTAGAAACATTTTGACTCAAAGTGATTTTCTGTTCCCCCAGAGTGAGCCAAACAAAAGACACTGTTGGCAGACAGTGCTGAAGCCCAATGATGTGCTCTCATCATTTGATGTGGTTCTTACCATTCACATCGACATTTATGCAGACACAAGTGAGAGCAAAAAAATGGCAGTGGTTTGTAGAGCCTGCTCTCCCTGGGTTTCAGCCACAGATCACCGCACAGCTCATCCCTATACGTATCAAAAAGCCAGCCCCTTCCCATTTTTTTATTCCCAGTGAAGGAATAACAGAAATGAAGACAGTGGGCTACAAATTCCCGTTTCGCTATTTTCTTCATCATAAATTCATACAAGCAGACGTAACAGATAGGAAAAAACCAGAAACACATACATGTTCTGATGTGAAGGCAACCAGCCTGGGAATAGCTGCCATTCCTTTTTCTTTAACTTCTGGGAACATCTTGAAACGTGCAATCAACATAGCATACATGTTAGATATGGCACCACCTGGAGTCCACAGTAATATACTGTTACTTTTTCTATGCATTGTAATATCATTGCAGAACAAACGACAAGTCTTCCTACAGTCTTTCTAACTCTAATGTTAATGTTTCTGCCTTGTGGCAGAAGCATGGATTCTTCTTCCTGATGCTCCTCACAGCTGGGTTGTGTAATAACAGGATCTGCTACACCCAAAAAGCAATTTATGCAAAAACTACTACTGCAAAAAAAAATTATCAGGGCCTCCTTTCATCCTCATTTTTGCTTCCATTTCTCCTTTAGTCCCCAATCTTATCTTTCAGTACGCCATCAACACATAATCCCCACTCTGTTCCACCTCCCAAGCAAATGCCACCACAAGGCAACTTCCTAAGGGGCTTCCGAGTGCAGACTCATCTGTGCTCTGCCCTCCCAAATCAGGGTGGTGTTTCATGCCCCAGCTCTGAGGAAATCCACATCGTGAGTCCCAACAGATACTATCTTCTGGGTAACCGGAGCCGGGGGAAGGTAGAGAAAGGAAAAAAGGTCATCCTAACACATACTTTTCTTTTTATTTGTCTCCTGATGGGAGCAAGGGGAAAAGGTTGGATGTCCCTAACAGGAGCCTTAAAATCACTGGCATACATTGACTTAAAATACCCATTTCAAGATGATGGGTATCAGATGACAGCTCTGCAGTACTCTGTTCCCCTATTTCAATTGTCAATGCATAAATTAAAAACGAGCACTTCATTTCTCCTTTTTGAGATTTTTACAAACTGAGCCTGTGTATCTACAGCGGAAGAATGTTTGGTCACACATTAATGCTGCATGAGCACTATGGGAATATAATGCAGAACCTGAGGCAGAGTCTGCGTACTTTTACATATGTATGCACATAAACACACACAGAGACATGTATACATAAAATCCATCAGTTTTATCCTGTATATATATAGTCTATATATACAAATTGATTATATATTGATGTTTATGCACATTTATTTATATAAAGCAAAGGTGTGTATTGATCATGGTTTTAGGCTTTTAAATGAACAGGTCAGAGTGCAGCTGAGGTAGAGTTCAACTAACCCAAGTTTCACCCATCTAAAAATGGAGTGAAGAGCACAAGACATGCACGTCCATAAGATGGTTTAGTCCATCCTAAGGCAGCTGTTTGCGGTAGGCTGGGTAGACTGGCCCTGCCGACGCATCCACCCCTCTCCCTTGAATACCTGGGAACTGCTGTAACTAGCCCAGGGTAGGCACCCGATGCTTGGACAGCCAAAGTGAGGTAAGGTAAAATCCACCCTTTAAGCAGATCAAGGTAGCTCTGCTGAAAGCAGTGACGTTACACCATGTTACACCAGCAGGGTATACGTGCTGACAAATTTAACATCATTTTGACTGTGGTAAGATTTGTATTTATCCCACTGGAGAGATATATACTGTTCCACAGCCCACGGAAACTGTGCCCTTCATTTCTAACTGATGTTCTAGCTCTGCCCTTGCAGGGAGGCTGCCCCTGCTCTGGGCCTTCCCTGGCCTCACTAGCCCTCCTCTGAATCCAAGTGAAAATGCCACAGAGGGATGGCATCGCTGGCATGGGCGTCAGTACAGGTCGGGCTTTTCCCTCCCCTTTCAACTATCTTGAGAGGTATGAACATATTTCTACACCTCTTTTCACAAATGACAAAACAAGAAATGGAGAGACTAAGAGGAAATGCTTGGGTACCTGTCCCTAAAAAATGCAGATGTCACATAACGGTTGCTGTTGATGATTTAGATGACTGAACTAAGGTGTCCATGTTGAAGGAATTTGGCCTATCTTGCCCAAAGTCATTGGCTCAGTGTCAAAAGAATCAAGACTGAAACATTAAGTTTCTTCAATATTAGGCTTTCTTATTAGTATTTATCACCTAGCCATTTAACCTTAAGCTTATTAATAAGTCTGCATTTTGCCTTTAATTTTGCAGCTGTGTTTACACCCACAGTTAATTGCAGGCAACAAAACACACCTACAGAATTTGGAGAATGTAATCAGGTCTTTATGCTTTGCATGTACTGATACTGTATATTTCATTCCAGAGAATGCAGAGAAGAACTTTTTCTTCGCAACAGCAAGATCTTCAGCTGAAGCTGTGACAGTTGAAATGAGAAGACAGCATAGAGATTATTTTGATTATTACCTAAAAAACCAGAACCTGCACACTGGGTATTGCTCCCTTAAGAGAGTGAATTAGAAAGATAAACTTTGCACAAACCCAAAACTGCAGAGAAAGAATGAGAGGGGGAAGCACCACAAATGCCCAGCACAGGTCCACGCGTGCCAGAGAGCCCGTCCCCACGCAGGTTTCAGCCAGATGAATGAGCTCCCACACCTGACACACTAGCAACACCCTGGCCCCCCAGTCAGGCAGGGACCCCTCGCAGACCCGCGAGGGACAGCAGCTCCTCCTGAGGCATAGACCTCTCCTGACTCCCACTCTCTCAAGCACGGTTTGCCAGACTTGGGCAGATCTGACGCACACGGTGAGCCTTTCGCCCTCGCCTGCTGCCCGTGCCCAGCCTCTGCCCACCGGGTCTCTCTCCCCTCTTAGGTCTCTGACCAGCCCGGCGCGGCTGTTGAGGCTCAAGCCTGCAAGGTGAGGAACTGAAGACCAGCTGTACTGAGTCATGCCAGGGACTGGACTGTAACCAACCACTATCCAGTTTCCAAAAACTTTGGCTTAGGTCTTGGGCTCATGATGTACATTTAGATGCTGCCCTGTGCGATGAAGCCCACAGTTTTGGTGAGGACCTCTGAGCCCTACAGTAAAAGCTGTCAGAGCTTTTGCTCTCAGTGCTTTTTAAATAAGGACTCAACAAGAAGTAATGTAAAATCTTCTCATCTTTTTCTCCACCTCTGTGGAAAGGCTTAGGACAAAACTCCTGCACCACTTCCCATGTGCATTCAGATGTGAGAAGCTGAAGATGAGCCTTGCCTGATCTTCCACACAGCATGAACTTTACCCTTCATGCCCTCAGAGAGCTGAACATCCTAAGCCATTACCCGTGAGGCCTTGCCTTTGCTCAATACT